TTTAGTATTAGTGGTGGCCTATGAAATAATACAGACAAGTTCTCCTTTTTTGTTTGTTTTTTCTTTATGGCTCCACCACAACAATACGTATTGTAGAACTCTGCATTTTAAACATAATAAAACTTTGCCTGTGGTGAAACTCTTCACGTGTCCCAGAAGTATTGTGTTTTATTGGTCTCATTTCAGCTACACAGATATATTTTAATGACAGTGTTGAAGAGATTTTTTAAATATTTTAGCAACTATGTTGTGGGGGTGATGACAATATTCTTTTTTCTATGTAAGAGCACTACAGCATGGAGAGGAAATACTTTAGTAAAATTCAAGAAATGCTATACTAGTATTCTACACCCATACCGAGCATAGCTGGGTAAAGAGAGTTGGCCTGTGAAATGATGCCCCTTTCCTACAAGCCTCTTTGCTGGATCAAGGAGACGCACGCAGTACCTGGTGCCAATCTTCCCAACAAGGAATCTGCACAAACATATTACTGACATCAATATTAACTGTTAAGGGAGTGCATTCTGCACGCAGTACCTGGTGCCAATCTGCCCAACAAGGAATCTGCACAAATATATTACTGACATCAATATTAACTGTTATATAGAAACATAAAACCTCACCACAAGTGAAGGTTCCAATGCTATGACCAAAGTGGAGTGTATTGGAGCTTGACTCACCAGCATGGCGCCTCCAGCCGCTAGCCCAGGGAATTAGCTCATCGACTCACTGGACACCTCCCTCTAACTGGTGTCTCCCCGTGTTCTCGCTTCCCTCTCTAGGCCAGGTCCTTGTCATTCTTGGACTACAGCGTCCTCTTCAGGACACTGCCCTCTAGCAGTGCCCACTCCAGTGTCTCTGTGCCCCCTTCCAAAGGTAAGTGTTTATTCAGCTTTGCAGTTCAGGGTCCTCCCATCCTAAGGGGCACCCAGTTCTCCTTCCAGGGAACACCCAGTTCCCCTGTACCCACCTTGCCTCAGTGAACCACTGCCAGCCTTCATCTAGCCCCTGCCTCAGGGGCAAACTGCAGTCTGTAATAGCCACTCATCACGGGCAAAGGGATCTGCTGCCTTTGCCTAGCCTCAGGCCTTTCTTCAGGTCCCGCAGCCTGGGAGCTTGCTTGGCCAGAGCTTCCTCAACCCTGCCTTCCTTGCATTGCACTGTACTTCTCCCCTGGCAGCCAGGCCTCTCTTTCTTTCTACCCAGGGCAGCAGTAAGTTCTCTTCTCCTGCCAGGAGCTATTCTTTGTAGAACCCCCAGCTGGGCCCTCATTAGCAACAACTGTCTCAGTTGGGGCTCCGCTCTTAGCCCTCACTCAAGGCCGGGCTTTTTCCCTTAAGGGCCAGTGCAGGGCAAGCGCCCTGTCATAGCGCTACACCTACAACGAGTCATAATGGGAACAGGATATTCCTTATCCAGCACAGACACTTGGGGCCTCTATATGGAAGGCTCTGGCTTCTGGAAACTCCCTGAGAGTATGTTTACACTGTGTCTTTTGAATGTGTCCACTATTTTGAAATATAGAAGACGTGCTATTTCACCATCCCTGTAAACCTCATTCTACGAGGAGTAAGAGGTGGATTGAAATAGTGCTTTATTTTGAAATTTGGCACTGTGTAGACTCTTGAGCATCTTATTTTGAGTTTTGGGCGCTGTGTAGATGCACTCTAAGAAGCTTAGCTTTTTGGGCCAAACCCCTTGTGAAGGGAGAGAGTCCTGCTGGTTCCCACCCTGGGGTTGGGAGCGTGTCAGGTCTCTTCACACATGCATGTGCCTATTGGGCCATGGCCCCTGGGTGTCACACAGCTGGAACCACTTGCTCAAGGGTGGCATGGCATGTGCTCGCACGTGCACAGGTGGCTGCTTGATCTGTAGGAGGCATGGCCCACGTGTGCGGTCCCTGGTCTCCCTCTCCACCTCCCCCCCGGGTAGGGGATAGTGCTGGCACTTATCTGGTATGGACTCCCTGGATGACCCTGCCGATTCTGGTGCCAGAACAGCTGGCAGTGGTCCCTCTGGTGTGCCCGGGTCAGGGCCCTCTGGTCCTGGTTCGCTGCCTCCAAAGCTGGCGTGGACCGCCCCACCTCCCAGGAATCGGTCGAGGGTAGGGAAGTAGGGGCAGGTATCAACCCCTGATGCGGCACCGCCCCAGGTGGCTCTGGCATATGCCTGCCGCAGCTCTTTCACCTTCAGGCACACCTGCTCTTGGGTGCGCCTGTGGCCTTTCCTGGCCATGGTGGCTACTATGCAGCCATAGACGGCCCAGTTCCTCTGCCTAGTGTGGAGATCATGGAAGTTGGGGGCCTCCCCCCAAACCTCAAAGAGGTCCATGATCTCCTCACTAGTCCATGAGGGTGCGTGCCATCTACGGCCCCTGGCTGGTCCCTGGGCCATGAGGGTGCACTCCATCTACAGCCTCTGGCTGGCCCCTGGGTGCTGGGGGACTGGGCGGGGGACAGCTGGTTGCCACTGGCTGCCATCCTGTGGCCACTGGCTGAGGGTCTGCAGCTGCTGGCAGGCCTGGCTCTTGCACAAGCACAGTTGCCAAAGTCTGCCCCTTTATGGGCCCTGGGGCTGGGGGAGAGTTTTCCTGGTGTGGCCCAGAGTGGCCACCAGGGGGAACTGGGAAGGCCTGGAGGCCCCCTAATTCGAAATAAGTGTCTACACAGCACTTATTTCGAATTAGCTTTTTAGAATTAGGTGTTATTCCTCATAGAATGAGGTTTGCCTAATTCGAAATAAGGGCTCCGCTATTTCAAATTTATTTCAAAATAGTGGTTTGTATGTGTAGACAGTTACAGTTAATTCGAAATAATGTCTGTTATTTTGAATTAACTCTATAGTGTAGATATACCCTTATAGTGATAAAATCCAGGATCTTAATCTATTTAGCTTAAACAAAAAAGAAGTTTAAGGGGTAACAGTTTAAGCACCTATATCATGAACCAAAAACGGTGACAATAGAGGGCTCATCAGGTTAGCCAACCGAAGTATAACAAAAGAACGGCTAACTGGAAAGAGATGGTAGACAAATTTAGTCAAGAAAAAAGGCTCAATTTTTAAAAGAGAGTATAATTATCCATTGGAACAATTTACCTAGTGTTGTGATTGTTTTTCATTATTGGCAACTTTTAAGTAAAAATCAGGTGGTTTTGTAATAGATATACTTTACAGGTTGGACCTCCCTGGTATGGCACACTCGGGACCTAAGCTGTCCTGAACCAGGGAGTTTGCTGGATCAGGGGAAGTCAGCATCCCCTTGCTGGCTACACTGCTCCTGGGCTCTGGCATGGGCTCCCCACCCTGCTGTCCCAGGGTCTCCCAGAGTTCCTGGCAGGACCACTTGGCCACCGCCAGCCCTGCTGCTGCAGGGTGTTCCCTGGGTTCCTGGATGGGGCCACAGCACCACTGTCCCTGCTGTGCCAGGGATTCCCAGTCAAGGCCACCCAGCCACCCCCAACCCCACTGCTAGGGCTACACTGGGGAATCTGATCGCCTGCCTCCACCAGCCCTGCTTCAGCTGGGGGGTTCCCCAGAAGAGGTTGCCCAATAACCCTGGCCCTGCTGCTACTGGTGGGTTCCTGGCTGGGGCTGCCCAGCTGCAGCCAGGGATTCCCCGGATGGGTCACATGGCCCAGCTGACACTGGGGTACCTTGGCCAGGGCAGTATCTCTGAGCTACTGCCTGGCCCCACAAATACCAGGGTTTCCCAGCCCTGCCAGGGGTTCCCTGGTCAGGGTTGTAAGAACTCCCCAGATGCCACCTGGCCCATCCAGGGCTCCCCAACACCTGCATTGCTCCCCCAGGTGGGGGCTCTTTGTTCCAGCAATATCCATGGCCCTGCTGGACCACGGATGTTGCCACACCAGAGAATTCTGGATTTGGGAGGGTCAACCTGCAGTTCAAACAGGAATTACTTCAGGGCATTCCTATGATATGTATTATACAGGAGATCACATTAGTGATCCCTTCTGGCCCTATAATCTATGAGTTTATGAACTCTTGAGCTGCTCTGACTCAGTACAAAGAGATCAGCCTTACATGGAGTTGAAACAAGACCATGGGAGCACAAAGGTGAGTGCATTGTCTTTTTTGCAAGAATGACTGCACACATTCGCAACCCTTCACTTTCTGCAAATCATCCGAAGATCTGCTCTGCTCACAAGATATCTTAACAATATTGTTGTAATTTGTTATACTTATTTTATGTTCAGTGAATTAGAAGCACACGAGGGCTGTGTCTACACTGGGCCACTTATTCCGGAAAATCAGCCACTTTTCTGGAATAAGCTGTGAGCTGTCTACACTGGCCCTTGAATTTCCGGAAAAGCAATGACGCTCTACTGTACAAAATCAGCCGCTATTCCGGAAAAACTATTCTGCTTCCGCTCGGGCATAAGTCCTTATTCCAGAACACTGTTCCGGAAAAGGGCCAGTGTAGACAGCGAAAATGGCGATCGGGGCTCTTTTCCGGAAAAGCGTGTCTACATTGGCCACAGATGCTTTTCCGGAAAAAGGGCTTTTCCGGAAAAGCAGCCTGCCAATGTAGACACTCCTTTTCCGGAAAAACTGAAAACAGAATAGTATTCTGTTTTAAGCATTTCCGGAAATTCATGCCAGTGTAGACACAGCCTACAAGTTTTTCCTGGCAGATTTGAAACTGTAATAGCGGTCCGTTGCATCTGTCACTGCATACTGAAAGTGTGCATATTCAGCTGACAGAGCATTGGTATTTGACTTGAGGACTCAACAGTCGAGTTGGCCTACAAAAATAAAATTATTATTCTCCACTCCATTACACCAGCTTTACACTGGTGCGACTCCACATGAATTCTGTTGATAAAAATGATATTACAGAGGGGAAAGTCACATCTGTCTATTTTGTTATGGGAACAGGGTACTGAAAATACTAAAATATATCCCAGATAAAATACAAGTGGTTCTTTTTCTAAAATATCAACTTGTCAGTAAGCATCCTCACCATGGTGATGTCATGCAACCCGTCAAAACATTCTGCATAGCCGTGATGGAAGAGGCCTGTACACTGCAAACTGTCACAACCTTTAGTATCCTACAAGAGAAGAGTCAGACTGCTAGAAAATGACTGCAAAGAGCTCTCTTTCAGCTGCAGGGAGAAGAAGACATAACACATACCAAATACTTTGAGGAAATCGAGGCAGACATAGGAAGCAAGAGAGGAATAGGAACACCTAAAATTACCTCACATTTTAAGTATGAAGAGAGGTGGCAGTGTCAGTGCCAAGATATTAGAGGTACAAAGTGGGTGAGATAATAGCTTTTGTTGGGGGGAGAGACAAGCTTTTGAGCTTCTGTTGACCTGAAGAAGAGCTCTGTGTAAGCTTGAAAGCTGGTTTCTCTCACTGACACAAGCTGGTCCAATAAAATATAATCACCTCACTCACCTTGTCTCTCACATTTTAAGAACAGCCTCTTTCTTCTTTCACTCAATGGTTTTATAACAGTAATTTTAATGGAGTTTCTCCTGATTTACAGAGTATCAGATACGAAGTGTATAGAAGTATTATGGAGAACCACTAAGTTGACCAGCTCATATCCACCATATTAGACCGTCAAAGGTTCTGAACCCCACATAGCTTATTGAAAGTAATGATCAATACAGAGATAAACTTTCCCTCCAGAATCAACAGTATGACACACCAGTTATGGGAGGACATAGAAATATCTATGGACCGCAATTAGGTCACCATTCCTGGCCAATGAGAGCTGTGGGAAGCAGAATATGCTCATTTTTGGTTCTTCAGAAATCTTCCTCCTTCAAGGTAGGAAAGAGGAACAGGAGCTTACTTTTGACTGAACCAACGGAAGTATTAGGGACTGGTACTTGTATTACAATATGGAAAAGATTTACATGCACACATATGTCTGCATATGTCTGATGATCAAAACTAGTAGTATTTATTTCCCTGATAAAACACCATGTAATCTAGGTAAATCATAGGTAATCTATTTTTATAACATGGAGAATAAAGCCTAATTGTTAGTAATTTAAAACAATGTATCAAATCAGAAAGTCTCACCTCTGGTATCTTTAGAAATGTTTAGTAGATTTTCCTTCCTCTCATGTGGACTTGCACACTACATCCTTCCCCCATTAGCAGATCTTCTTCATCAATACAACAGACCAGATCAGGGTTTTTTTTCTTTTTAAGCTGCAAAACATGCTTCTCGAATGACTGCTTTGGGACCACTTGGGCCAGCAGGCATCTGTCTGAAATGAAAACAATTTAAAATATTAAAAATTGTTAAGCTCTGCTTCATTTTGGATAGTAAGGCAATTCTAACTCTGACAATAATTTTCTTTACTTAGAAAATGCTAGTTGTAAATGTAAGTAAGCTTTTTAGGCAGTAATTCTGTTTCACTCTGTTGCTTGCACTTAAAAATATGTTTACCAATTTGAAATTTTTATTTGTTGGGGTATTTCCTGAAGTTCAATCAATGCTTGCTATGATAATGTTGCATAATAATTCTCTCTTGGTACACTTCTCAGTGTAGCTACAATATTATACATGAATCCCTCTGTGGTGATTAAACAGAATAAAAAGTGCACATGGTTTCAAAGTCAAGAAAAATCAAAAGAAATGGAGACACTCTATGAGGACAAAAATGCTTGCTGATAAAATTATATAAGTTATTAGATGCTCTGTGCATTAAAATGTGAGACAATAAAATATTTGCAAGCACTCTTTTAGGAAAGATCATGTGTTTGCTGGTGAAATCTGATCACATTCCAGTGCAGAACTATATCTTATTATTAAAAAAAAATGTTTTTGGTGCAAATTTTGCATGATGCAAATGTAGTTCAGTTGTCTATGAAATCTCTGTTGTTCTATAGCCCATAGAGAAATGAGATTCCATTTCACGATGCTTTCCAAAAATGAACAATTTAAACTGAGTTTGTTTCTGCCATGGAAAGATGAAGATCTAACTTTTTAGAAAATTTGATCTTTTCCTCTTCACATACTTGGTAGATTATACAGTTACTAATAGTTCCAATACCTATGTGTCGCATGGGCTACTTTCTACCTGTGTGCTTCTTGAGTTTGGGGAATGATCCTTATAGTTTAAATTGTCAGTTGTGTCACACAAAAAAATCCAGATGATCAGGACCCTGCAAGGCCTCTTGGTTATTGAAATGGGTTAGATAAACTACTGCCTGAGATCTTACCTGCACTGTGATCTTCTACCGGTTTCCTACAGATTTTTTTTCTCTCCTGTAGCCTGTCCACCATCCTTTGCCTGCACTTCTGAGCTTTGCCTGGTCTGTAGTTTGTCCTTTGCTTGTGATCCTCTGACTATAGCATACTCAACAGGCTTGGTGGATGGAGTTACCTGGACCAAGTATTGTTTTATAACTCATTTAGGCCAAGTCTGGTGTTTGCATACCCTGAGGTTTACAGAATATGTCAAAAAAAGGTTTATTTTCGACAGATCCACATCTAGACTGCCGGGGTTTTTTTTTCAAAAAAACTCTGTTTTGAAAAAAAGCGGTGGCCATTTTATGCTAATGAGGTGTGGGATATTTAAATCCTGGCTTCATTAGCAATTTCAATGTGCCTAATCTAAATCTCTCTGTCAACAGAGAGGTGTAGTCTAGACCCACCCTGTATGACTATCTTCACTGAAAGAGAATGTACTGCCCATGTGAGTAAGGATTTTTAATTTAAAAGTTTACAGGATTGAGAATTCATATTATATCCTTTAAATTAGTCATTGCAGTAAATACTAGTTTTGTGCTAAGAACTATTTACCTCTTCATATCTTTCATAGTAATCTACCTGTAATTGATATTCATAATTGTCTTTATGTCATTGATTTGTCTATATTGCATAGAAATGACTAGTTATGTGAAATTAAAAACAATAGGCCAAATTCAGGTCTTGGCTTCAGTGGGATTCCCATCCACTTGTGTCTGGATTGAATACAGTCCTGTATCTCTGGAGTTAAATCTAGAGTTGCTGTTATCAAATCCTGTGGGCCAATGTAGTTATGATAACTTATTCAAAGGTTAGAATAATGAGGGTTATTATAGTATTTAGCCTTGCATAAGAGAACAAGACTGGTTATACTGGTCTTTATTAATAATAATTGACCAGTTAAAGAGACATTTATTTAAAGAAAGTATATTTTGTCTCTAGTAAATCCTTGGACTTAGTGTCATTTTAAACTAAGGGGATGGGGCCCTCTCCAATAAATCAAACAGAAAAAAATACTTTTAAAAACTATTAGGATTTCTTTACGAGTATTTTATAGAGATTTAAATATTAAATAAGTGCAGCTAGTTCTGTTAGTTTATAAAATCTCCACAGAAAAGTGACCCATTTTCTTTAACGTTCTCTCCAGGCATTTTCTAAAGAATTTCTGTAGAATATTTTACTATAGTATTCCAGAAAATAGGACTGCCAGGGAGGAAAAGCACTAAACAAACACTCATTTATTACATCAGGTATTGCTTTCAAACCAGCAATGGTGACTGTGTTTGCTTGAGGGTAGAATGACAAAGGGAAATTACTGATGTAGAGACTACTATCAATAGCTATGGTAGAGCCTCAAATGGCCAGGGACACAAAACCTGTTGTTGTCCTTGACACAATACTAATTTTAATACTTAAATGATTTAATAAGAGCATCTGACTACCTCTTGAGTTTTGTACTGTCATTAGTCATGTTTGATTAAGTATTCAGTGTCTTAGAGGAAGTCTGTATGTCCCATCACCCAGAATCAAATTGCATTTCTATTGTTCCTAACACTACAAAAAGAAAATTGGGTTTTTGTGGAAAGAAACAGTGATTTCATACTGGATAAGAAGCTGATATGGGAAGTATCAGCTCCTACTAATATATAATAGATATTTGATAATGTTAATGTAGGAATGTTGGAAGTTCACTTAATACAGTTTGAACCTCTATAAACCAGGACTCTGGTTTGGCAACATCCAGGACCACGGATGTTCCAGTGCCAGAGAATCCCAATGGATGGCTGGTGCCTAGGAGTCCTGCAGATTGACAGGGTTGCTGGCTGCTGGCAGTGAGTTGCCAGCAGGGCCAGGAGCCTAGATCCCCACCGCTGAGAAGCCAGGCATGCCCCAGTGGAGCTGTCCAGGGGGTCTGGGAGCCCAGCACACATCAGTGGGGCTGCTCAGCTAGATTGCTCAGCAAGCTCCAGCTGGGCTGCCCAGAGGGGCTGGAAGCCCAGTGCACCTCAGCAGAGCACTTGGAGGGGCTGAAAGTGTTGTGCTGCAGTGGAGCTGCTTATCTAGGCTGCCCCAGCTGGGCTGTTCAGCGGGGCGGAAGCCCATCACGCTCTGTACTGGGTTGCCCGGCATGGTAGCCAAGGAGAGGGGGCAGGGACCAGCAGGGTAGTGTGGCCGGCGGCTGGTCTAGCACTGGGGGGCTGATAGCAGGGGGCCAGATATGACCTCCCTATGTCCAGCAAAATCCCTCATCTGGGACCTGTCAGATCCCAAGGATACTGGACCAGGGAGGTCCAACCTGTACATTAAGAGTCACATATTTGGAACTGGGTATTATTTAAATAGCACAAACTACCTACAGTATGTAGTGGGCATTACAGCATCTGGGTAAATACATCTTAACAGTTTATTGAATTTCTGAATGTCTTACTGAGTATTCAGTTTTTATTAAAAATAGACATAAAATAGAGCATGCTATTTTGTGAATATATCTGAAGGGGAAAAAAAAATACACCTTTGACACTGGCAGTTCAGATGCCAGTTCATGCCAAGACCTCTAGATCTCAATTGAACGCTGACCAATACATAACTGGAACCAGTGTGGTTTACCTATGGGTTAGTATTCTTAAAATATGTATTAGTTATAAGAATGTGTTTATAATATATGAAATACTTGTAAATTGCTGTATGCATTAATCTAATGTATAATATAGTATCTGTATCTCACATTATCTACTATATATTTGAAAGAGTTTGTCTGTCTGTCTGTCTGTTCAAGAACTCCTCCTAAAAGGTAAAAGCTAGGACCACCAAATTTGGTACAGAGTTTCCTCCTTTCATAACTTACAGCAAGGTCAGGGTTTGGTTGTGTGAGGAAAATGGGATGTATCTAGAATAGGATTGCTTCTCATAAAACCATACAGAAAAGAGACAGACCCACCAGGCAGTTAAAAGGGGCTGGCTGAGGGCCCTCCCTCTTCCCCAGGACTGCCACAGCCTGGGGCCTAGCAGAAAGGGACAATATATATGATGAATGTGTACAGGCAGTCCCCGACTTACGCGGATCCGACTTGTGTCAGATCCGCACTTACGAATGGGGCTTTCTCGCCCCGGAGCTCACAGGCAGCGGGACCGCCCAGAGCGCAGTAGTCCCGCCACCTCGACCTCCGGGGCAAGAAAAGCTGCTCCGGGTGCCTCTGGTCTGCTGGGGACCGTCTCCAGCAGACCAGGGACACGTGGAGCAAAGCCAGGGAGGCGGAGGGGTCCTGCGCCTCTGAGGCTTTGCTTTGGCAAAGCCTCAGAGGCACGGGACTCCGCTGCT